GCCACCATAGCAAACCGACGCCATTGAAAGAAGCTCGGCGAGAATGAAAGAAACTGGAACAAAGAGACCAACAGTGAAGAGAAGTTTGAAAAGGACTCTCCTACATTCACCGCCATCAACATGATCTTTCTCTATTCATCGTTTTCATTTGCTTCAAAAGAGATCAAGTGGATAAGAGCCGAAGGAAAGAAGGAGAGAGTACGAAGCAAAAGATAAGAAAGAATAAAATTAAAGTGAGTTACTAAAGGGTACGCTGGTCATATTAGGAGTAGAGAAAAATTAGATTGGACTACAATACAAATAAAAGGCCGATGATGAGTATTTAATACCATAAAAGTACAATATCTGAATTAGAAGACAAAAGAGAACATCCTGATTGAGTAATGACCAATTTTTGCTTCTTTTTCTTTTTTTTTTGGCTACAGTGACTGTAAAATTAGGTTTTTCATATATGGTATTGAAGTTGCATTTCAAATTATTGCATTGAGATTTTCCAATTGATTCCTATTTTTTAAATTAGCGCACCCACACACCCACTAGCACAACGCTCACACACATCAACTTTGCAATTCCCTAAATAGCATCACTTATACATACTAGCACCCATCCATTAACTCAACACTCACAGCCCACGCAACACTCACTTGTGTGTGGAAGCATTCTGGGGGTTATGTAATTGATTTTTGAGAAAATTAAATTAATTTTTGTTCCTTATATTATTTTCAAGTATGTATGGAAGCATATGTTGGGTTGTATTCAGTAAAGTTGTATGATAGATCACATAAACAGGGAACGGGAACAAGAGCGGCAGCACAAAAGCGACAAAATTCAAAAATATTTGAGAGCGGAAGTGCCTCTGAGAACACCATATTTTAAAAGAAAATTAAATATTATATACAAATATATTGAAAATGAATAAAGAAAAATCTTAGTTCAAAAAAAAAAAAAAAAAAAGAAAAAGAAGTGTGAACTATGAAGTGCCTCAAGGCATTGAAATCCCACATCAATAAAACCAAAGTGAAGGAGACCTCCACACGGCGATAAAAGGCTGCAGCCCTTTTCCCTTTCCTTCAGTTTCTCATGTGTTTTTGTATATGGTTGCTAGCTGAAAATCCTTTAATTAAGGTTAGTACAGCTGGTGCCTAATTAATAGTGTTTAAAATGTTAATGGTCCAATCTTTTTTGTTTGCATAAAGTAGGTGCCGAATTTTTTTGCATGAGTCAGATTTTTGGATTTTAATAAAGGAGGGAAGTCTTGGAATTGTCTAACAAGTAACAACCAAGAGTGAGTGGGGAATATGATGGACCTTCCAATTGAGTGGACGGTTACTTTTCTTGAAAGTTGAGATGTTTAAAAAGCATGAGGTGGGTGAGAAAGATTATACACATATATATGTGCATGGAGGAATATCTCATTGAATTCTTTTAGTTGAAAAAAGGTCCCGCCACTTGTTGGTGAAAACTATCTTCACGTAGGAAGCAGATGGAGAAGATTTGTGTTTTTATTTAACGATATTGAAAGCTTGGAAAGAAAAAAAATACAAAATTGGCACATCAAATTCGATTCTAATTAATTATTCTTTGGGTTTACTTGAATGAGATTTATGACAAGGCCAGAGATAAAAAAGAAAACTCCCAACAAGACTTCAACAACCGCCACTGGAATCACCATCCCACAGCTCCAAGAGAGAAAGAGAAAAAGGGGGACGTGAATTTCAAAGTGAATGCATAGAGGTACTGAGAGAGATAGGTGAGGAGGGATAAAATTTGAGAAAAAATCATTCCTATACCATAACTAGACATGGAGATAATAATATAATAGAAAATTTCAAATTTATATGTATTGGTGGTGATGAAATGAAGAAGAAGGCGAGAGTCGGGCACTGTTCGCTAAAAACGACGATTCACATTTCAAATCACAATTGTTTTTCACTGTTTTTGAAATCAACAATTTTTTACTGTTTTTGAGTTCATTGTTTTTCACTGCTTTTGTGTTCACTATTTTTTTTTTATTTTTTGAGTTTAACTATTTTTGAGTTTACTAATTTTCACTATTTTTGAGTTCATTGTTTTTTGTATGTATAATTTTCATGCCATTAATTATGTTTTTGAGTTCACATTTGTTGTTTTGATTGCATGTGGGATAGTATATTGTGGTCAACTATTTTTTAGTCCAGTAATTTTTCCACCATTTTTGAGTTCACTATATTTTACTATTTCTGAGTTTATTTTTTTTTTACTATTTTTGAGTTCAGTAATTTTTTACTGTTTTTAAGTTCAACAATTTTTTATTGATTTTGAGTTCACTATTTTTCACTATTTTTAGCTCACTAATTTTTCATTATTTTTAAGTTTGACTAGTTTTTTTTACTATTTTGGATGGTGGATGACAACGATGGGGGTGGTGGTGGCGATGGTGGTGGGCTAGTTTTTCACTGTTGTGTGTAGTGGTGGTTAGCCGCAATGGTTGGTGGTGGTTGTAGCGAAAGTGGGTGGTGATGGATGGGTGCTGGTAATGTTGGTGGTGGTAGTGGATTATGTTTTATGGGAAAATATTTCAAGTGTGGAGTTCACACCGGCGGACGGCTTCCAATTTGAGCCTCGAGGGTGAAGAAGGCCGACTTGTGGCTTTTATGACTCACTTTGTATAATTTTTGTGAAAATTTCATTTTGGCATGTAAATATAAAAGAATTGTAATCGAACTCATATAGACTGTTTTAATTTTAAAAAAATGCATGTGGTTATATGAGTATGGATAAATGGACTCGGTGTGGTCAATATATTATAATTGCACATGTTGTGTTTTGGGTAGAGCATCACATATAAAGAAGACTTTGCCCAAATTTTGTTAAATTAAGGGCCCTCGATTTTTGGGGCGTCACATTAGGATCCCAACAATTTTGTCCAAATTGGATTTTTGATCCTTGTGTTATGTAAATAGTCATCCAAATAGGAGTGTTGTAAATACTATTAATTTGGATGAGTACTATGCATAAATAGTAACAAATAGTACTTGGACATGACCATATAATACACAAATAGTTACCACATTAATGGGTAAGAAAGTCCTCCATCCTTTTACCAACAATGCAAGAAGGCTAATTGTTTTGCCTGTAAATAGGCCTTACACTTTTGAATGAAGAACACACCGGATGATATATATCTTCCCATTCATCTCTAACTTTTAGCATTACTTTTTTATCCCTTAATTTGTTTGAGTTAGCTATTTGCACTACATAAATATGCTCGTTTTACAATAGTATGATGGTTTTGTTGGGCAGAGACATTGGTGAGCATGAATAACAAAAACCAAAAGTAATCAATTGATTGGCCTTGTCGAACAAGAAAGGCACCGTGACACAAGAATAATTTGATTGACAATCTGGCTCTGATACCAATGTAGGAATTTTGTGGAATAGGATTTGATAATTTTGATGAATGGAGAACTGGCCTTTGAGAGTTAAAAACTCTCTTTGATATGAAAGCAGTAAAGTTGGGATTTCCTCTCTAATGGGTGTTCTCTCAATTGTGTGTTTCTCACTAGTTCTCTCTGTATCGAGATAGTCTTATTTATAATGGTGAATGCATCAGCTAGCCGTTCTCACTCCCCTGAATATCTCCATGTCCACTATTATTTCCTCAACTCTATGCAGTCAAAGTAGGCTAAAATACACCAAGTAGGTTTAACTACTTTAGACGTAGTCTTTTACTACTTGATGGGTCTCTTTAGCCAAGTCATCCATACTGACTAGAAAATGTTTAGTCCAAATATCCAATCATATTAGTGCAATATATATGTATGCATGCACTATTACNTTACTACTTGATGGGTCTCTTTAGCCAAGTCATCCATACTGACTAGAAAATGTTTAGCCCAAATATCCAATCATATTAGTGCAATATATATGTATGCATGCACTATTAGAAAATAATATTTAATACATAATAATTTCATAAAAAAAAATCTATGATATATGTTATGAATAATACAATATTTAATAAATGGGTCTTTAGTCCAATGATACTCTTTACCTTGTGAAAGTTTTGTCTTCTTGAGGTCAAGGGTTCAAGCCTCTTTCCCGTCCTCCCAATATATATATATTCCAAATTTGACCACTAACTGTGGTTTAATCAACATCGAGAGATTTTAGCCATATATATTCCAACAGTTTTGGAATCGCATACACTGACCAAATCCTTTCTAAGTTTTAGCATGATTCGAAATCATCTTTAAGCAACAAATATGCTGAGACTTAGTTCTGCATTGTTTCAATTGTGCTTCATTAAAAATGATTTCATTTTTGAGTCACATATTTAAAAAAGTTTTGTCATGAGAAATCCAATGCCCTAATGCTTTGGGCATCATCCTATTGCAAAGGAAATTAGACATGTCGTCAAACCAAAACAGCAGGTGCGATTCTTTTTGGAAGAACACCCTATGGCCTCATGCTCAATGGGATAGTAGAAAGTTAAACAATAGGCACCATGACTCAAAATGACATAGAAGTAGACACAATGGATATATGAGAAAAATGAAATAAAAAATGCAATCGTTCCATGATAGCAAATTTTCTAATACTTCAACTTTTTGCCTATTCAAGTTTATATTGTTAAAAATAGAATACTAAATAATACTTTGTTGTTAAGTGTATCTACTTGACTTAGGTACACAATGTCTTTGTTTTATCTATCACAAACATACAAAGGCTAAAATTATAGCCAACATATATACATTACTACTTTCTTATGATAAAAGTTTTCTAGTAACAGAATCTTGAGTTAAAAGCAAAACAAGCTAGTTCACGAGTTTAAAGCTGCTATCCAAGGTCTTCAGGCACACTAGGCAACCATTTCTCTGTTTCAGAACACACATTGCTTTGAGTTATGGATTCCACAATGCTAATCAATAGGTCTTCAAGAAAACCCGGTATCCATCCATCCATGTTCAAACACAGACTATTTTTTAGAATTCGTGTCTCTTCATCATACATTGATGAGTCTACTCCGGGAGAGTGAATGTCAATGGCAATGCCCCAATAGGTATGGCTGTAGATTCCATATTCTTAATCATCAAATCTTCAGGGAAACCATGCATTGATTCCTCCATGCCAGAATGCAGATTCCATGGATGAAGCTGTGCATCTTCATGATATATCAATGGCACTGCTCTGGCTTCATGATATATCAATGGCTCTGCTCTGGAAGTAATTGTCGAAGGCAATGTTCCGAGAGATATGGTTCTAAATTCTACATTCTCAACCACCAAGTCTTTTGGAAAATTAGGTATCGATTCCTCCATATTAGAACACTGCTGGCTTTGAAGAATCTGTGTCTTCGCCATATGTCAATGGTTCTGCTCCTGGACTAATTTCCAATGGCAATATTCCAACAGGCATGGTACCAGATTCCATTTTGTTAATGATCGAGTGTTCAAGAAAAACATAGGACTAGTCCACATCAAAACACAGATTTATTTGAACCATATGTGTCTTCATCATATATCGATGATTCTTCTCCAGAACTCATTGTCAATGACAATGTTCCATGAGGTATCGTTTTGGATTCAACATTGTCAATCATTCAGGGAAACCATTGGCATTGTCAATCAGCGGGTCAAAATACAGATTGCTATCAAGAATGTGTGTTGTTTTGTCATAAGTTGACAATTTTTTTCCCAAACTAGTTGTCACTGATAATTCCCCAAGAGGTCTGACTCTACAGATTCCACATTGTTATCAATGTAGTGGTTTTCTATATATTCACTTCCATCTATCAAAGGGGTTTTTTACTTGTTGTCGATATTTTCATAGTCATTCAATTAATGCTGTTGGTTTTCACAAACTTTCATGGTTTGTTTGTGATCCAGCCTTTTAATCTGGTATAGTACGTAATTCAGAGTAGAAAAAAAACTATATTCATTCATCCGCCATCGACCATGTTAAGTCGATTCTAGGTTCTCGTATCTTAAACTTCTCTTGTATCCGATAACTATTCCTTCACCATTTTGAATGGACTTACCTTTTTCTTGACCTTTCCATGAACCTCTCCAGTTCCCATCCATGCGAGCAAACCATTCCCTTTCACCATCTTCTTCATCGTATCTTAAACTTCTCTTGTATCCGATAACTATTCCTTCACCATTTTGAATGGGCTTGCCTTTATCTTGACCTTTCCATGAACCTTTCCGCTTCCCATCCATTCGAGCAAACCATTTCCCTTTCACCGTCTTCTTCTTCAGCTCCGTGAAGAAGTAAGTATTCCCGAAAATCTCCCATGGCTCCATAAAAATCACCTACTGCCACAAAACCTTTATATAAGGATGGATTTTCGGTGATCAAATAGCCAAATGATCAGTGGATNAGTATTCCCGAAAATCTCCCATGGCTCCATAAAAATCACCTACTGCCACAAAACCTTCATATAAGGATGGATTTTCGGTGATCAAATAGCCAAATGATCAGTGGAGGAACCTCAAACCCACCAGAGATCTTGCCATCTCTATTGACTCCATTAGGTCAAATTTTTGGTGTTTTTTTTGTTGTTTTGTGAGACACAAACTGTTTGATTGAGAAAATAAGAAGTGTATATATATATATATATATATATATGTAAACGGTAAGTGTTCGAATAGGAGTAAGATATCTATATTTTTGTGCATTACAAACTTTCTAAAAAAATTAAATGCCGGTGAGAAGTTTTTTCATTGCAATGTGATATGAAGTGTTGTGTGATTGGCCAAGTTCAATACAATAACTTGTTTCTGTTTCATATAGAGTAAGGTACTAATACTTTCTCCATCCATTGAAATTTATATGATTGGCTACATAATTGCAACTGTAATAGAATTAATTAATTTAGCACGTTAACAGTCTCCTTCTTTTTTTGTTTGAGTTATCTTCCATAGCAATTCCTAATTCATTTAGTTTTTTTCTTCGTTGGTCACTTGGGATCCTCTGCATTACTCTTAAAGGATATAGAGTAAGAGTAGAGACTTTAAAGCATGACACATTCAACACCATCTTTATAGCACATTATATAACCATACTCCTAATAGTTGCATTTGCATAAACATATATTTCTAAAACTAAAGATAATAAATTCTACTTGCAATCAACTATATCACAAGAGAATGATTAAACTTGTCGTGTTATACATTGAAATGATTTGTTATAAATATCTAGAATTGTGAAAGCTTAACTTAATCAATAATTTTACATACAAAAGCACGAAATTAACAAATTTTAAATGATATTATAGTTATATTATTCAAATCTTATACTAAACATCACAGGGTCTTATTTAATCAAACCATGCGGGCACCTCATCCATGTAAAAAACATTGACTAATATGAGGAAAATAACAAAATAGATATTACCTTATGGTGGGAAATTTTATTATTTAAACTTCTTGCCTATTCAACCTTATATACATTTCTAGTTACTTTCCTATCATAAGAGTGTTCAATTATACATCTTGGAGTTAAAAACATATATTAGTAGAGACTAGTTCAGTGTTCCAAGTCTTCTTGGATAGTACGTAGTCATCTCTTTATGTTTGAACACATATTGCTTTGAAGAATCTGTGTGTCTTCATTATAGATCGGTATGCCTTCAGGCAAACCACTTCTCCATTCCTCCATGTCAAAACACAGATTGCTTTGAAGAATCTGTGTCCCTTTGTCCTATACAAATGATTCTGCTGCTTCAGGAGTGATTGTCAATGACAATGTTCGAAGATGTATGCCCCATTCCTCCAAGTCAGAAAACTGGAGGCTTTGAAAAATCTGTGTGTCTTCATCATTTATGAATCTGATCCAAAAGTGACTGGCAGTGCTCCGGGAGGCATGGTTCTAGATGCCACTTGGTCAATATTCATCTAGTTTTCAGGCAGACTAGGTGTCTGTTCCTTCATGTTTGAGACTGCATTGATCTCAAGAACCTGTGTGTCGCCATAGGNATGGTTCTAGATGCCACTTGGTCAATATTCATCTAGTTTTCAGGCAGACTAGGTGTCCGTTCCTTCATGTTTGAGACTGCATTGATCTCAAGAACCTGTGTGTCGCCATAGATCCATGATTTTGATGATTTAGAACCCATTGTTGTGCACAAGGTTGCAGGACCACATCATTCCATTTTTAGGAAATTCGCTATGGAATTTTCAATTGTGTAGCTTTATTTCGCATAGACTTACGTGGTATATTGGCTCATTTTTTTTATAAGAACATTGAAAGTATGACATAACATAAATGAAAGTGATGGATTTATAGAGAGTAACTCAATATGTATTATTTTTATACAAATGTTGGTGGCCGTTANTAGGAAATTCGCTATGGAATTTTCAATTGTGTAGCTTTATTTCGCATAGACTTACGTGGTATATTGGCTCATTTTTTTTATAAGAACATTGAAAGTATGACGTAACATAAATGAAAGTGATGGATTTAGAGAGAGTAACTCAATATGTATTATTTTTATACAAATGTTGGTGGCCGTTAGATGAATTTATTTAAAACCGTCTAATGATTTTATTGAAATTGTTTTATTTTATAACATTTATTGATACCCACTACTTATTCAATGATTATAATTATCAAGTTTATTTTTTAAGTATATGTAATATTACTCTTTATATTATAGATTTATGAAGAGGAACCAATGATAAGTCATTACAAAGAAATCTATGTATCATTATTAGAGTTGAAAATTCTAGTCGGTAACAATCCTAAAACTTTGTTTGGTATAATAGAAAAATAAAATGATAAAAAATAGGAAGTATGAAAAAATAGATTGATGAACTTTATTTCTAACTCATCAAAATCAAACTCTAAAAAATTAGAAAAAAAAGTTAATGAAAAGTTAATTATGTATGTTAAAATGTATGTTATTTATCTATATATATATATATATATATATATATATATATATATATATATCATATTTATAAATTACATATTTTATATATAGATATGATGGTAAAATAAGTAGTTAAAAATAAATAAAAGTAAAAAAATATTTTTTCTACATTACCAAATACAAAAAAAAATAAAAAAAATCAATCATTCATACTTTTTATGCTTCTTACCAAACACAAAGAGGGAATGAATGATTCCTCCCTTATAGGATAGAAACTCCCACTTTTCATCCTTTTATTTTTTTCATTTATCCTACCAAACGAATCATTAAGGACAACTCAACTAGTAACAGAAAAAAGTTGTAAATTCAAATGTCCTAATTTCGAATCTTAGCAATTCTTTGATGTAAGGCCATAAAAAAATTATCTCTCATGAATACTTTAGTTCCAGCATAGATAATCTGACCTTGATTAGATCTGAGAAGAGATTAGTTGAAGTATGTGTAAACTGTCCGGATATCCCTGACCGTTAAACCAAAAAAATAAATCTTGATTGTAACTTGATAGGAAATCAATATGAAATTGCCTAATATTAATTTGGTCTTATTAAATTTATTATAATCAAATTGTCCGATCATATTTGCTTAACAAATGAATCAACACAAGTTTAATTTGTTTACAATTTAAATTTAATTAAATACAAAATAAGCTTGACACGACATTAATTTGATCATAAAAAATTACAAATAAGTCAGGTATCAATTCAATAAATTTGGACATGATACCAATTTGATAGAAAATGACATGACTTGTTGTTGCCCTCATAATTAACTATCACTCCTAATCCTTACACTAAGGGACTGTTTGGATAATTTTTAAGATATGAATTAAATTAAATTTACGAATCTCTACCAAATTCAAATGCTTTATACACAAGATTAAATAATGTATCATATTCAATTCGATATTTAGTAAATGACACAAAATATAAATGAAGTGACGCTACCCTTTTAACACATGTGATAACATTAAATGCTCTAACATGGAGGTGACAAGACCAGTTACGCGAGGAAACAATATATATTGCTAGTCTCTGAGTCAGCAGATAACGACCGAGTTGTAACATAATGAACTCGGTTCTCATTATGATCGAGTTATTTGAAATAGTAATGTGATACTAAAGAGACGCCCATGATTCAGGCATTCTAGTAAAACAAATGAGCATAATCATAAGCTCGGTAGAAAGAACTGTTGGAGAGATTTCTACACTTCTTAACAAAATCATCTGATTAAGGGAAGTTGGGCTACCCTGAATCGAAAATCATGAAAACCCTAATTGGAAAAAGCTCTATAAAAGGCATAAAAAGACAAGATGAAAGGTACGCTGAATTCTCCTTATCTTATCTTAAGTTATTAATTCTATTACTAACTTAAGCAGTGGAACACTAAGAGTATGATGTCGTGTTTGAACCGAGAACTGCAATCAAGGGATAGATTGTTGCTGATTTTATCATTAAGTTTCACCCCAGGCGAAGCTGAGGGCCAAGCGAAAAATGAAAAGCTGATGATGTGCAAGTACTTGAGGATAGATGGAGTATATTCATGGATGGATCATCAAATTTGAAAGGATCAGGTATAGGGGTTATACTGGAAAGCCTGGAAGGATGTGTGCTAGAGAAAGCCACCAAACTCAGTTTTCAAACCTCGAACAATGAAGTAGAGTACGAGGCCTTGATAACAGGCGTAAGGTTTGCAGTCGGTTTGGGAGTAAGAAGACTCCAAATATTTTCTGACTCACAGTTGGTGATGAATTAGATAATAGGGGAGTATATGACAAAGGACGAGAGGATAGTGGCTTACCATAATGCAGCAAAGAAGGAGTTAGGCCAAATACCAGAATATTGAATTCAGCAAATAGGAAGAACACGAAATACCCATGCTGATGCTCTGGCGTCATTGACTCCAGCCATTGATCAGGAGAATGAGAGAACAGTCACTATTGAGTTTCAACTCGAGCTGAGCATTTCAGTTACCACCTCAGAGAAAATTTTATCTGGGGACTTACAACCCAGTTGGATGGATGCAGTTATCGCCTACCTGAAAACTGGAGATGTACCCGTGGATAAGAAGCAGACCCATAAGTTGCGACTAAAAGCATTAGGTTTTGGTTATCCCCAAAAGATGAACTTTATTGACGATCGTTCAAAGGACTGTATTTGAAGTGTGTCCATCCGAAGCAAGTGCTAGAATTTATGTCTGAAATCCATGAGGGTAGCTGCGGTGCACATACTAGTGGAAGATCGTTGGCTCATCGGGCTATTTCCTAAGATTATTGGTGGTCGTACAAGCATAAGTATGCGCAACATTTTGTTAAATAGTGTGAGAAATGTCAAAAATTCTTTCCAATTCTAAGAAAGCCAGCCCAGGAGTTA